CTAAAGTTGTGTGAGATACAAACGTAACAATCAAATGAAAGGACAGCTAAAGTTGTATTAGATACAAACGTAACAATCAAATGAAAGAACTGCCATGGTTGCGCAAGATACAAACTTAACAATCAAACGAGAGAACAGCGAAAGCTGCGCGAGATACAAACGTAACGATCAGATAAAAGTACAGGTAAATTTGCGCGAGATACAAACTCAATAATCAAATAAAAGAGCAGCTAAAGCTGCGCGAAATACAAACTTTATAATCAAATGAAAGGACAGCTATGGTTGGGCGAGATACAAATGAGAAAACCAAAATGAGAGCAACAAAAAATCTGCGCGAGATACAAACAAAACAATCAAAACGCAAGAACAGTTAATTTGCGCGAGATACAAACGAAACAATTAAATGAGAGAACACTAAGCCCTGCGCGAGTGACGAACTTAACAATAAAAGGGACACTTAAATTGCGTAAGATACAAACAAAACAGTCAAAATGAAATGACAGCTATAGTTGAACGCGATAGAAACGTAACAAACAATTGAAAGAACAGTTAAATTTGCGCGAGATACGAAAAAAAAATGTGGGAACAGTTAAATTTGCATGAGATACGAACGTTACAATAAAAAAAGGAACAGTTAAATTTTCGCGAGATACAAACCTAACAATCAAAATAAAAGGGCAGTTAAAGTAAACATTTGCGCGAGATACAAACGAAAAATGAAATGAAAGAACAGCTAAATTTGCGCCAGATATAAACATAAGGTCTAATAAAAGAGCAGCTAAATTTGCGCCAGATGTAAAGGTAAAAATGAAATGGAAGAACACCTTTGCGCAAAATAAAAACAAAACAATCAAAATTGGAGAACAGTTAAATTTGCGCAGAATGCAAACGTAACAATTAAATTACAGAAAAATTAAATTTGCGCAAGTAAAAAGCAAGAAAATTTTAAGAAAGAAAAATTAATTTGCGCGAGGTGCAAACGTAGCAATCAAAATGAAAGATATAGTTGCGCGAGAGATGAACATAACAAACAATCTAAAGAACGGTTAAATTTGCACAAAATACAATGAAATGATCAGGACGAGAGAACAGTTGAATTTGCGCGAGATACAAACGTTACAATAAAAAAATAAGCAGTAAAATTTGCGCGAGATACAAAAAAAGAAATCAAATGAAAGAACTACCCTGCGCGAGTGACGGATGTATCAATAAAAAAGGACAGTTTAATATACGCGAGAAATTTTGAATCTCCTAAGGTCAGCTAGCTGGCATGTCCACTCATATTTGTCAGCAGTGAATATACAAGCATGCTATTTAAACCTTAGAGGATGAGAGGAGAGTGGAGAGACGAGAGAGAAGAGCAGACTGGAAGAATATAGACAGTGTAAAGAAGAATAGTGTCAGAATTCTGTAGTAGAAGAGAGGGAGTATTATGGTTACGCAGAATGAAATAAGCTTGGATGTTAATAGAATTGTGTACTGGAGAACTGAGTAATTAAAGAAAAAGTGACAAGACAGTTCGAGAGTCCTGGTGCCTTTCGCCGAGAGTGGTGTGCTCGATAGCTGGTTACCCCCGACATTTAATAGTCGTAACATATTTGGTGGAGGACTGGGGCAGCCTAGGTGAAAACCAACCTAAGAAAAGAGCAACTAAATTTACACGAGATATAAAGGTAACAACGAGATGAAAGCACAGCTAATTTGCGCAAAATAAAAACAAAAAATTTAAATGAAAGAATAGTTTAATCTGCGCGAGTGACGAACGTGACGATAAAAAAGGACATTCAAGTTGCGCAAGATACAAACAAAACAGTCAAATGAAAGAACAGTTAAATTTGCGCAGGATGCAAACAAAACAATCAAAATGAAAGAAAAGTTAAATTTGCACGAGATATAAGCGAAACAAACAAAATAAAAGGGAATTTAAGTAATGATGAAATAAAAGGACAGCTAAAGTAGAACGAAATCCAAACGAAATAGTTCAATGAGAGAACAGTTAATTTTGCGCGACAACCAAAACAACCAAATAAAAGAACATTTGAATTTGCGTGGGATGTAAACGCAACAATCACAATGGAAGGACATCTATATTTAGATGCACGAGATGCAAACGTAACAATCAAAGGGAAGGACAGCTGTAGTTTCGAAAGATACAAACGCAACAGTCAAATAAAACCGACAACTTTTAAAAGTTGCGCGAGATTCGAATGTAATAATGTAATTAAAGGACAACTGAAGTTGCGCAAAATACAAACGTAACAGTCAAATGAAAGAACGGTTAAATTTGCCCAGGATTCTAACAAAAAAATCCAAATGAAAGAAAAATTTAATTTGCGCGAGATATAAACGTAATAAACAAACAAAATAAAAGGAAATTAAAGTAACAATCAAATGAAGGACAGCTAAAGTTGCGCGAGTGGCGAACGTAACCGGCTCTAAAAAAGGACAATTAAAGTTGTGTGAGATACAAGACGAAACAATCAAATGAAAGAATATTAATTGAATTTGCGCGAGATACAAACTCAACAATCAAATGAAAGGACAACTTAAGTTGCGTGAGATTCAAATGTAGACAGTGTGAAGAAGAGTAGTAGTCGAGGGGGAATATTCAGTGAGAGTTAAATAATGAGAGCCTAAGAGACTAGCCGGAGTTATACAGAATGAAATAAGCTCTGATGTTAGTAGAATTGCGTACTGGAAAGCGGAGTAATTAAAGAAAAAGTGACAAGACAGTTCAATAGTCCTTGTACCTTTTGCGGAAAGCTAGTTACCCACGACATTTAATAGTCGTAACATATTTGGTGGAGGACTGGGGCGGCTTAAGTGAAAACCAACCTAAGGAAAGAGCAGCTAAATTTGCGCGAGATATAAAGGTAACAATGAAATGAAATAACAGCTAATTTGCGCATGATACAAACGCAACAATTAAGTGAAACAACAGTTAAATTTACGCGAGTGATCAGCGTAACAATAAAGAAAAGGACATTCAAGTTGCTCAAGATACAAACAAAACAATCAAATTTAGAGAACAGATAAATTTGCGCGAGTGACGAACGTAACAATAAAAAAAGGACATTTAAGTTGCGTAAGATACAAAAGAAACAATCAAATGAAAGAACAGTTAAATTTGCGCAGGATGCAAAAAAAAAAAATCAAAATGAAAGAAAAGTTTAATAGGCGAGATATAAACGTAATAAACAAAATAAAAGGCCGTTAAAGTAACAATGAAATGAAAAGACAGCTCAAGTTGTGCGAAATACAAAACGAAACAATCCAATGAAAGAACATTTGAATTTGCGCGAGATATAAACGCAACAATTAATATACAAAACACTTAATTTGCGCGAGATATAAACGATCCCTACGCCAAAACGTTTCAATTATCTCCCTCTCCTTTTTTTGGCGGGGGTAGAGCAAGGAATGTTTTGAGACCGTTTTAACGGAAAAATTCAAAGTTAAAACAATAAAAGCATGAATGACATTATACAATATATAGACGAGGAAAGAATCGACAACAGAAAAATAAATGCACAAGCCACCTACACCCAAGCAACTTATTTCTTGCTGTCGCCCTAAAAGTCATAACGCTCCATAAGAACTAATATGGCGTCTCCCATGTACGGTTCGTCTTGCAATGCTTTACGGTGTATTGTGTCATATGTTATTCGTTTTTAGGTTTCATTCTATAATACGATTTTCAGCTAGATACACAAACCCTGTATTTCTATCGAAAGTATGCAATTTTCTAAAGTTATTTACCTTGAAAAATTCGTTGGTGACAAACTGACATCCATTTACCTTCAGCCGACGCCGATCTATAACCAATCGATTGAGCAACTTCCAAGAGGCAGTTATTGTCGAGTTGTAGGGCAGCCTCGACAAAACGGACGATATCCTTGGTAAACGGCTAGAATTTAAGGTGTTTCTTAGCCTTGGAGTAGCTGAAAAAGACGCTGAAATTTCTTGCCGCTCGTAAGCTCTTTCCACGTGCAAGACTGATAACAAACATGAATATTAATTCAAGATATTTGTAATTCAAATGAGTATTTTGACTGGCCGAAAATCATCCAAAGGCTGTTCAGTCACTTTTGTTCAACAGCAAAACAAAACACTGATAACTAACAATTAACTGTCTTTTGACGCGGCTATATGTTAGGTAGAAAGGTTTGAATCCACATAAAACTTATTCGATCTATGATGTCATTGAAAAACTATATTGTGCATTGCTGGGATCAGCTATATTTAGAAGTGTCCTTGTAGGAAATGTTAAAATTTCTCACCAGTGAAAGTTAGTTAAGCTAAGTTCGGTTGCGAGTATGCCTCACAAACTAGCGCTTTATGTCTTTCTGTGCGGTGTTTTCACCCCCAGAAGTGCGCAATTATTTAAGTCAAATTTTGCTAAAGGTTGAGTGATCACTGTGATCATCTGTTTGCTGACAAAGTTGTGTCGACGGCTCACTAAGAATGCAGTAATTCATCTGCTCAAGTGCGAAATGTAGCCTTTCACATCTTTTTTTATGCTAGCTATGCTCTCAGGATAGCTTACGTGGTTAGCGCTCGATGAAAATACGGGCGGCGGAGCTGCGAAAACGAGCTGGGAACTCTTCCTAAACCCCTAGTGTGTTTTACACATTACATGCTGGAATTTATTTTGACTTATAAGTACTTCTTATAATGTACCTTTAATTATGGTTAATTTATAGTCTACCGTTTTATACATGAGCCTCTGGCTCGGGCAATTGGGCAACCATGCCTCACGTTAGACAACAAACTTTGATTGATTGATTGATTGATTTTTTCCCGCTCGTTTCTGTAGCTCCACACTCAATGCTCCAAAGCGCACACATGACTATTAGCTTCACCGGCTAAGCCCTGAAATTCCTCTACAAAGAATCATTTATGAAACATTTTCTAATGCCAAATTCACAAATGATGACTCCCATTTTTTCTTGTTTAATGTCACATTCATTACTCTTTACATAATAATATTTACAGAGGTCCTTCGTTAGCAATTATGTCTTTTCGCAAGTATCAACATATTGCCTGTTGCGAGAATATTTACATGGGACTCTTAGAAGCGACCATCTCTCGTAGCGACTGCAATAAACTTCTTGCTGGCTAATAACCTTCACTTTTCTTAATCTGGCGTAAGCAGCGATCTCAAATCTGTCGACCTTACGGCAAGTGTCCTATTATCACCTGTTATCTCTTTTGCTTATTTTCAAATTTTCGATGCGAGCCATTTTTCCTTTTTGATTTGAGGTCACTCTCTCCTCTGGGAGGAAAAGTCGAAAAGTAACGACCGTCTTTCAAAATTCGTTTTCTGATTGCATGAAATGAAAATGTTAACATCTAAAAAAAAACTTCTCGTATTCTTCCTCTTGGCGCAGAGAGCGGACGCCTTATTTTAATTATCGATAAAAACGGTAGCACACGGGACGGCACAGTGTAATGCACATTGTTTGGCAGTTCATCTCTCGTTCTTTTCTGTTTCCGACGACGTTAAACGTGTTACAGAGGTTCCCTCGTTTGTGGTTTTCCATTTTACAGAGAGACATCTATAGTCGTTCTGTAAGAGAATAATAAAAAGAGAAATCAATTCAGGCTTTGCAGGACGCAATGGCTTCGCTCACGAGTTCTTTGTAATTTCCTGGTAGTGCACCGGAGAGCAGAATGTAAAGATTTGAAATTCGATTCCTCATAGTTCTTCATGAGGACTTAGATCAATTTCTTTGACCCATCCTAATGTCACGACGATAAAAAATATTTCCAAATCAAGGCCTGTTCGAAAAAAATACAAAATAAAAAATCACTTACCGTTAAGGTTTCTTGAAGACTTCAGCAGTCTTTGTCCCGGTTGGCATTTTTTGCATGTAACTGGACAGTTTGCTTTTATAAATTCCACTGACTGTCTTAGGACCTTGTATTTCAACGCACCAGGATCACAGAAGTCGTACCAGAGCGTGCAAACATTAGGATATTGGTCTCTACATTCTGTAGTTCACAAAGAGGATATAATTTCAATTATAACTGACGCTACATAGAGTTCTGAGGTTAACAAGCAAGCAATCTATACGAAGCCAACAAGATTTTCCACAAATCAGGGGAGTTAAGTACTTTTTGGAATATTCATAAAGAGAACAACAATTGGAGAGTGATGAGAACCATCTTAGTTAATACATGCGAAAGATGCATATCTTGACATTATCCTCTAAACCCTATCATTAGTGTCCATTTTAGCCACACTGCATGATGTTCCTACATTTATTGTGCTAATGACAAGGAGAATTTGTTTGGCAATCAGGAACTTCTTAAATTGGTGATCATTTCCATCACTCTCCTGACCTTAACATTTGATTCAAAAGTGATATTTTAAGGAGAAATTAGAAGCCAGTCAGTCTTAGGTTTCAATGGTTAAGCAGAGTAAAGCGAAAGAAACCAACAATCACTGCTATGGTACCTCAGTTTTAAGTCTTGACTGACTTTGACAGGAAATGGTGACAGAACGTTTGTGGCTTTGTGTGGTTCATGATTCTTACTTACCCATGCAACCTTCTCCATTAGGTCCCTCTGCTTCTGAATAATCCCAACAACAACCGTGTGGAGAGAAAAGACAATCTTGTATGGACTGAGCTGGGGCGCGTAATCCTGAGGGAAGTTAAAAAAAAAACGCATTTAAGTTAAAATATATATATACCATGCAATGTATCTCTATACTTCTTGTGATCATTCTCCGTTCGAAGTTTGGCGTCAATATTGCGACGGGTAAAAAAATACCTTTATAAACTGAAAAATCAGGAAGGTATATGGGTGGCTTATAACGGAGACGATGAGAACGGTGTTTAAATAACGGCGTTGATAAATGAACAAATTGTAGAGAAGCTACTTAAAATGTATCACACAGCAGGCATACCATGAGCTAACTGCGCTATAGTTGTGAGCCTCTCTTACTTACGCCAAGACCAAAATTTTTCGGCAGTCTTTCATAAGATTTTATAAAGCTAATCGATTCACAGTCGTGAGTTACTCCTTATTGTTCTCATGATGTACCCCTTGTAAAGAAAGGGAGACGCCTTCCTTTATAAAAAGTCTTAAATAACTTGAGAATTTTAGGACCAACTCCACTCAGGCAGAGCATAAATCTTAGGGCTTTACGATCGTTCGAATTATCAAAAGGAATTGATGGGGTTTCCTTCGTTTACTGAGTTTAACTCTCCATTTCACTCACTGCAAACACCACAGCTCTTTGGACAATATGCTTTTCCCCGCTCATCGCACGCTCTCTTTGTAGAAAGTATAGACATTCGTCTTTGGCAGTACTTTGGATAACGGTCTGTGCACTCTGTTGTAAAAATAAAATGATGGAATTACTTTTTGTGCCTGAACCTTGATTAACCTGATAACCTCGGTGCAAAGTATTTAGGGCTTTCTTTAACATGTCACTCGAACTTGGTGACTGTGTCAGGCTTGAGACAAAACAAAGTTTCTGAACAAGCTTGTAACGCTCCAAAGCGACGTTCCTGAGTGCCTACGGCTGTGGTTTTTTTTTTTTTTTACTTTACACGAAAATTTATCCTGGACGTGGAGTTAAAGTTAATACTAATACTCTGTTATCTGAACTTTTCTCAAGCTAAAAAAGACAAAGCAAAACAAAAAACAACAAAACTTAACAAGCGAAACAAAACCGTGACAATCAATTCAAGAAGAAGAAATGATCTGTTCTTTGAATCTTTGAACCAAGATAAATTGTGAAGTACAGTTTTTCTCATTTTCCGTCTCCGAAAACACCTTGTGGGAGCATGGCTGGCCTGAAAGCGAGCACGCGTGGAACGTCTTCTAATTGAGAGTTTTACTCACCAGGACAACCTTCACCATAGAATCCTTTGGCCTCTGTCTTCTTGTCCCAGCAACATCCGTACTTACTTGTTTCTAAGGCACACTTCGGTTTCACCACTGAAACAAAGAGTGAATTACCATTTTAAACATGCAATATTTTTGTGCCATTAGTTCTCACGTTGGATTTATACAGTCTAAGTTTTCGTGACACAGGAAAGGTTGGTCTGTCGAGCGTAGGACTAACTCCAGGCTATTCCGCTCGATATGAGACAAAACGTTGTCATCAACTGAAATGTTGAACATGAGACGTATTTGATGGTCGAGAACACACGGTGAGGCTTGGACATCGCTGTGATGGCAGCCAAGGCTTTTATCAAAGGCGCATATCTTATCACGTCAACTTGATCAATGATTAATCTGTATCGTCGATGAGTATGACACTCATTACTTACCACACGAATTGCAAGTGAGAGCGCAGATCGACTTCACAGACTTCCATTTGCAACCCTCTATGCCTTTAAGGCGATAATTTCGTAGTAAGTTTTTGCACGCTCTCGTCCTTAAGCGGTCTCTGCAAGCTAGAAACACAGAACAAAGAACTTACGCTCGCGTAGACAAATATAGCTGTCCTAATAGATATGTCAACACCCTCGTATTCTGCGTCACTGTTGAAGTTCCCGTCGACACGTAATTTCAACGCGTTAAAACCAATTAAGAAATGATATACGATACAATCCGTCCCCTAGTCTCCTAAATAATGTAAGTTCTTTATAATTTTTGGCGGATAAAAGTCTAAACGACTAAAATGAATCATGTAAATCAAAACAATTCTCACCATCAGATGCCGTGCCGTGTATGAGGAAAGAAAATGATAATATCATCAATATCGTTATTTGCATGTTGATAAGTTGATCTGAAGAACGTAAGTCTTATCGGTCTTCGCCCGTTCTCTCTGTCTTATGAAGTCTTGATTTTGAGTTGTACAAGCTCGCTTATCTTGCTGTATTTATTGGCTCGAATAAACAGGCGTGGGCGAAATGTGAAACCTCCGACGGACAGGAATCAAATGCTTGTTTACTTGTGGTCGCTAAATGTCGTAAGACTGGCTATTTCGAGTGGTCGACACCCTTAGTACTTCCCTTCCGTAGTAAAATCCTCTTTTAGGGTTAATATTAGTTTGCGTAGACTCAAACCGATTGCGTAAGCACTGAGCGTTCAACTATTTTTCTTTCGCAAGCCATTTCTAAAGAAGAGGTCTTTTTTTTCTTTTTATAAAATAATACATGGGTCACTAAAAATTGAAAAGCATTTACTCGGGATTCGAATAGGACCGAATGGGTACGTTATTCCAACTAAACTATTCGACTCTGCTATCGACCTTAAAAGAAGCTAAAATCATTATGGCATGCGAAAAAAAAAAAAACGTTACAATCTCACAGGGGTGTTCAAGTATCTGTAAAAGATACTGGATTCGTGCATATCTCAAGCTTCGCCAAATTTTCTCCACTATTATTAGCAGCACTCGATCAGTTATGATTGAAGCCAAAAATTTAGATAATGTTGATTAAAAAAAAGACTTTTATAAACATTTCGAAAATGGCAAGAGTTCAAAGAGTTCCTGTTTGGGTTAGCCGTATGGGTCATCAAAAGTTCTCTTTTTTTTCGGTTATATTTTGTCTTCCCTTCTGGTGTGGTTTCCTTCTTTCAAGTTAGTGTGTTCCTGTCCTTCTAGGCGGGAAATATCAGCCTTTGTAACTGATAATACTCGTGTGCAACGGACATTTCATACCGCTACTTGTGTTTTAATCGCCTGCCTTTAACATAATTCTATGAATAGTTTACTGTCGTGCGCTAAAAGAAGTTTTAATGACCCTTAATGGAAACTCGCCATCAGACCGCAACCTAAGACCTGCCCGGCCCTTGTACTAAGCTATTCTGTAAACATGGTGGTCACGTCAACAACAGACCATCAGCATGCGACGCTGAAGACCAATGAACATAACTTTTTCACTCCAAAACTATTTACATGTCCTATGCTCTTATGTCAGTTTACATGGTGATTTCTCAAAGAAACCTTGGGATGAACTCGAGGATAAACTCGGAATATAGTAACGTGACAGTTTAAACCGCCTTCTTAATTATGGCACGCTGTAGTCATGAATGTGCGTAAATTTTCGTGGGTTATAGTGATACCGGAATAAGCTACTTAACTGCGGCACTTGCGAATCAAGGCACATTGGAGGTAAAACTCTATGATAGAATTTATTTTTAATCATGGACTTTAGCAAGATTGCAGAGCCATTCCACAAACATTACTACAGTCGAACCACTCTCTACGGACACTGTCCTCTTTATCAAGGATACTTTGGACACTTTTCTCTGTATTTTCGGTGTCTGTAACACTTTTTGCAGACTCGTGTGAAGCGAACGTAACTAGGGTGTCGACGATACGTGCCATTCATTTTACGGCCACCCTCAAGCATAACCGTCAAGCGAATCCTAAAAAAGCTCATCATTATTTTAATTCTTCTAAAAACTTGCGTGACGTTGTTATAAAGACTCAAGAGCGTTTGTGTTGGCGGCGGCGGTTGGAATCAAGGACTGCGCAAAGCTTAGTGAATATCCACAGTTGCCCTAAGGCCCTAGATGTTTTAGCAGCACGAAATGGCAATTCGCTTATCAAAATTCAACACTTTGTTGTAGGAGTTAACCCTGTTGCCTCCACTGTATTGTGACTTAAAAGAATAAGCAGACTGTATCACTGATTTGCGACAAAAGGACCAAAAGAAATGTTTAAGTCTCACTGCTATTTTGATTCAGCGATTAAGAAGAAAATAAACAATCATTTTGGCCTTTGTTCGAAAAGAATCTTACTGGGAGAAAGAAGTAAAACACAGACAGGAAAAAAAGGCACAGCGTTTCTTATACCACGGTATTTTAAAATCGCTATGATACAAGCCATAACGTCTTTGCTTGCAAAAAGAAAGAAACAATCCCTAGTTTCTACCTAGACAGTAAGACAACAATATAAACTATTTTTATCATATCATTTCAGTGACAAATTAACTGTTTGGACTTCGTTCTGTCAACGGTATCATAAAATCCACTTAAACCCTACAGCGCATTCCGCATATCAACTGTAATTCCGCAGAAGCAATCAACAGCACCATGCGAAAACTTGCTTAGGGCCCGGACGCACTTGGCAAATTTTTGTTTATCTTGCGAAAAAATCTGACACCAGTTCCCTGGGAAAAGTGCACCCGATGATTTTTAGTTCTACCAAAGTTTGTCAAGGTTTACTAAACTTCAGAGACGCCGTCGTCCTGCCTCGAGGCAGGACAAATTTCACGCGTGAAATCTGACAGATTTGTCAATTTACACGCCATAATTTGAAGGAAAATGTCAATCACGAAAATTTGATCTCTACTTTTAGTTGGAGTATTTCAATCCGAAGTGCGGCAATCAGACGGTAAAGATTCGTACCTCTGAATGCTGTATAACGATCTTTACTCAGGATACAACTATTACAGTTCTCAAGTTTACGTTTCAGCTGCAACTCCAGGGCCAAGTATTGTTCAATTTATATCGGCTAAAGTAGTCGACAGCGCATTCTTTTACAGCCTTTACTTTTTTGTGTCCTGTCGATCGCGCCTGCTATGTTTGGTAGATCCGTAAATTCTTCGAACTTTGCGATGGAGGCTCTTGTCTCATGTGATTGACACAAGTGGTTAACAAATATTTTGCTGTGTCTCAGTGCGCCCACGCTTGACAAATTGAAATTTGGCAGAGACAAATTTTGTCGAGATTTCTGGTAGGGCCAAACAAATTTTGTCAGTCCAGTGCTTCCGGAAAGTTAACCGCATGGTTCCCTTGCCACGGACCTACATTTGTCGCTGAGTGACTCTTCCGACGGGCAAAGATGCAACACACTTTCAGATGGGTCAACATTACCGCGGTGTCATTTCCGCTTGCCGCGGTTTTCGCCGTCGCGTGAATCCAGTAAAATTCAACAAAAACAATGCGTCTAGACCACAAGTAGCTCTCGTGGCCCACGCGCAGCGGAGCTAATTTTATCGCTGTGTTCTCTCACTTGCCCAACGGACAAACCTGGAATAGAGGGGCTACTTGTAGTTTTATCCATTCGGGAAAGATGCACTGGACTGAGGCGAGCGAAATAGACGGAAACGGAACCACATCTGTCAGTGTTTGACAAAACAACATTAAACAAACAATTTTGAACGACAAAACAAAAACTTGATAAAGAAACGCATTGTTTTGGAGCTTGAACCGTGGCTGTTTCTAGTTCGCCAATGGCTGATCAAGAAAAAAAAACTAGTCTGTACATGTTTCAACATATTAATTCAGCAATCTTTTGTTTAGTCTCCTGTGAACTGAGACTGGAAGGAACCTTCCTCCACCAAACGGGATGTTCCAAACTGTAAGCCGAAACAATTGAAAACAAAGAGATGTTATGAGCCCTCGAAAAAGCTCAGAAACTAGCATTTCTCCTTTCAAATTCAAAGACAACTGAATGAAAGTTTCATTTTGTCCTCGTTGCTGTCAGTTACAGCTGTTAACAATCCTAAGGCTTTTCAGAGATTTTGAGTCGAAAAGCGATCGCATGTGACACGGAAAAATTCCCTGGTTAGCAAAGATACAAGTATTGACCATGTTTAATCCCTACTATTCTATGAAGAAAACAGTAACCAAACATGAGTTTTGATAGCAAAGTAGTTGTTTTCATTTGTAAAATACTCTCCGTCTCTGATCTAATAAAATAGGGTTGTAGGCTTGTGTAGTGCCAGACTTCTATTGACAATAGTGTAGCTTTTTAGAAGTTCCAAATGTCTAGAACTGTTTGATTCAATTATGTTCGTGGTTTTGTAACCTGGATAATTTAGCTGGGGCGGATCTGTGCAGGGGAATGTTCGAATTCTGCGGCAACTAGCATCATAACAAACTGTGGGGTTGATTCAGTGGTTAAAAAAAAAAAAAGAAAAATTGAAGGGATAACGTTCACTACGCACAAACATGTTAATCGTTTTTGCCTTATCCTCACGACCACAAACGGAATAAATTTTTTCGAAAATTCTCGTTTCTTCCCACTAATGTTTGCAATCTAGAAGTATTTCCTCTATGCAGATCTTAATTAGATAAACTAGGTTTTTGTGGCTTGTTGTTCTCAGAATAGACCGCCTATGCGGAATTATCAACAATTAATTGTCTAAATGAGTCATCGAATTTCCTGCTATTCGCACCTCGAAAACAACTTTCGTTGTTGTTTGTTTTTGTTAATGTTACTGTTGTTATAGCGTTTTCATTTTCTTCCCTTATTTAACTGATATGTTTTGTTTTCATATTCCTCTACTCTAAGCCAGTGGTTCTCCACGCAAAGTTGCCCCGTCATAAAATATCTATAATCATTCATCCCAGTGTTCAGCAAAAACTGTTTTTGCATCAACACTTACCACTACCTTAATCAAAATATTTCTTCATATACTTTTCTGCTTCTGCGAGGTTCTTTGAAGGATTACCAACAAAATATCGCTGGCTATGCCTCATAGGAAAGATTCCTTTT